ATTATTGCACTTATATAGCGACATGCATGCACGTGTGTGTCTGTGGCTGCTTGTACTAGTCCGGATTGATGCCGATTTATAGTGCTAGCTCACTGAGATACCATGCCGCAGTTTAACATGAATACCCCACTCAGACACAGTATACTGACTCCGAGCCGACCAGTCCTTGTTTTAGCCCCTTAATGTTGAGCGCGAGACAGGGTAACAACAAGTACCATCTTTTAATGTCTTTTGGTATGACGCGGCCGGGGATCGAACCCCAGACCTTCCGCTCTCTGGGCGGACGTTCTACCACTAGCCCACGGAGGCGGCAAAATGTAAATTAAATAACATACTACTCAAAAGAAGTTAAAGAACACACTTTTTTCATGACTAACTATGACTAAAGTTAATCTATCATAAAGAACACCCGTTTTTTTCATGTGGCTACAGTTAATCTGGCATGGTCAGGACAGATTACCTATCGTCACATGGAAAATTTGGGAACTTAAAGGGGCACTGATCTAACGCCATTCCCCGGACTGGTTGTTGCCTTTGTTATTGTTTTTTCCCCCGTGAGTACCCGGATGATACGCAACGCAACTGAGCGTGACCAGAGACTGGGCTACCGTCTGCAAGGACAGCTAAATAAACTTGGAGGCTTGAGGCAATATTTGTTTTACGCGTTTTTGCATAAACACTGATTGGTAAACTGTGATCTATAAAGATTTCGACAAAGGGCGCATGTTAATTAATTTCTTCAGCCTAAACAAACAGACGAAAAGAACGGCGGAGCTCATCGGATGTCGTCATTTGGAAATACCCCAGATGGTTATAGTTTAATACTCGAAAAGGTATCCATGGAGTGAAAGCATTTTCGAATTTCGGCTTGCGTCGATAATACGATTACTACTCCCTTGTTGTCATCCACGTTTTCTCGTAAAACCCTACACTTGTGTATTTGTCGTCATTCACTTGATGCTAAGTTAATGAATTTATTACAGGTACAATTAGTGGTAGCACCACTTAGATTACCTGACAAAGGTTCCCATTTGGCATTTATTGTGTCTGGGGTAATTATTCAATCTAAATCCAGGTTTGAAGTGAGGTGAAATGTGTGTTATGTAATATGCACGTGGCAGCCTAGCAAGAGATGAATGATCAGTTGATTTACTTTTTGTGTGTAAATCAACGGATCGTTCCTAGTCATCAAAGGATTAACAGAAAATACCTTGATTGATTAATCACTGTTATCTTGCACAGTGGATATGTCAAGAGTGAGTGTGTACATGTCTAGGCTTACTAAAACAAAGGGAATACACTCATATCATGGCGTGAAGTGCCGATGTAAAAACAACATACTTTGTTCAAAGGGTTAACTGATAATACGTTGATTGATTGATCATTGTTATCTATCACTCAATGAATGTTTTAGGAACCGTGGATGTTATGAAAATAATTGTCACGTGGGCTTTCTCAGCCGACCATTGAGACTTGACACCTATGTAAAACACCTGAAACAATCCAAGTGATCAGTTGAGAAATGAACACGGGTTATAATATCCCGAAACGATACATATCTTTTAAAATATTTGATTGTTACAGAGACACGCGACATCGAATAAGTTTCTTTGTACAGCTGCAGACGAGTGGGATATTGTTCCTTTGTGTGGATATTCACGGATACATTCCTCGAACAAGGAAGATGCCTAAAATTTATACACATACATTTGGTAGGTTGTAATTATGATATTTGCATTTTGTTTTCCTTCATTTGAACCGATTCGTTCTTGTTTCTCTACGTCTTGGTTTGGAAATTCTTCAATGCGCGATAGACGTTGTTTTCACAGGTCTTTTCCTTTGTAAGCGTGTATATATTACCGTAAATTTGTAAAATGTGATTCTCTCAGGCAATTTATAAAATGTGTAAATATTTCAGTCATTTTTACTAAAAAGTCTGTCCAGATTGATTAAGACGATCAAAAGGGCCTACAAACATCACAACAGATTATTATGTAGGATTAGAAGCCAAACAACATAGAAATGTACTTTTCAACGTAACATTTTCAGTGTCTCTTGGTGATGACATTAAACATCAAAATGTTTGGAATTCGTTATCATAATAATACAGACGGAAATGTTTTTTTCAGTCACTTTGTAAAATAACTGAATATTTAGACGCTTAATAAATTTGTTACACATTTGACAGTAAAAAAATATACACACTATAAAAAAAGCAATGCTTAGGTGAAATATTTACTTTGTGTTGCAAGTCAAAATAGTGTAAATGAAAATCGCAAAATTTCCAAGCAAGTGACTTATCAAAACTTCGTCACCATTACCGATGCTACCCACAAAGATACCTACATTTCCTTATTATCTCGAAAACTGTATTTCATTTTGTTGATCATTGTGACCATACGCCCTTATTACTACCCATACAAGTGACTAATGCGCTTACGAATGGCGCAGCAGAGGTCGCGAACTAGTCTAGATTTCTGCTACACATCCGGGTACTCACTGGGAAAAAACAATAACAAAGGCAACAACCAGTCCCGGGGAATTGCGTTAGATCAGTGCCCCTTTAAGTGGCAGTTTAGAAGATGTAGTATCTGTTGCTCAGTGGAACTAAATATTTTAGAGCTGGTGTAACTAAAATGAAAACTAAACTAAATTTGAATGACTTACCTGTTAAATGACCAAAGAACAAAACGTGACAACCTATTAATAAACTATGGAGGATCTACAAGGAACTAAACATGATTCTCTTAATTATGTGACGAAAAGATGAACAAACTTCTATGAAATAAACTTAATATCTAATGCTAATCCTAATTGCCTGAGAGTATGGGTACGTAGGTGACCCCTACGGTATTCTAACGCTAACTAACTGATTGATGCCACCTACTGCCTTATATCTGTGCAAAACCCTCACATTTCATGTGCAGTCACAGCCATATGTTGGTGTGTTCATGCGATGCGATCATTATGCATTGGGTGCGTTTTGAAGAATAATTCTAATTTTCATTCTATGATTAAAACTGACATGTCTTCAGAACAGTATCAATGAAGACAGCATATCTCAGCTTCCCGAGGCAAGGAAGTTAACTGACTTTAAAAGTCAGGCTAGAATTCCTGAGCTCGATCATAGCGGCACCAGTGGGTATTACGAGTTATGTCCCTTATAAGCCTCTCCTATGGACCAATCAGATTCCACCTCTCGTATCACATGCATTTGTTTCAAACAAAATGGCGGCGTCCAGGCAAGACGATCTAATCGATAATCAATCTCTTTATTGTGATAAAACGGGTCTTACATCCATAAGTGTATCAAATCACGTGAGCACCTTTACCAAAAACATGAAAAGACTTGGAAAATATCTGTTGACAACGAGTTGGCGGTGCACATGCTTTGCAATTCATGCAATTGACCGAAATCTGCACGACAGTTTACAAACCAGATTTCGATTGGATTTGATTGGACAGACTATGCATAGACTCGTTAGTCCAGCCAAAATGTAACTCCATAATACCAGCCTAGTTTGGCAAGGGTGGAAACTGGAATTTTACAGTCAGTTAACTCTCTTACCTCGGGAAGATGAGCATATCTATGCTTTCAGTTCTATATTTTGGTACCGATGCTGATATGAAGCAAACAATATCACCAAGTGATCCCTTTGTTGAAACTTACATTCCACTGTTACATTTAACAGTAGCTGTACATTCATTACTTGTTTATAATGACAAAACAGTCCTGACATATTAATTATCCTAAACAACAGTTGGCAGCAAGATGTAGGAGAAAGCTCTTCGAATTAATTTCAGACTAAAGTGAATAAAACTGAATACAACTGACTAAACTATATGCAAAATACAAGCACTTATTGCCATGATCTATTTTGAAATTCTCAGTCATGTGAGCAAAAGATTCAGACAAGCATACCATATTTTTGTATCTCAAAAACAAATATAATCAAAGAGTTCAGATTGCAAAAAATGAAAAGCTGCACTATTATATTGTGGACAATTTAACCATCCTGCTGTTTCTGAACGCCATAGCATCTACGCCCATACAGGTGTACTATCAAGGTGGTAAAGAAATGTAGAAGAATTGTTTTAGAGAGCTGACATCTTATTGGCTCAAGAACCCATGCAATCGTTCATTTCGATGGGGTGGTCCAAGGGTTTTAAATAATGTGACCTGCTACTGTGGTGTCATCAGATCTTGACCCAAACAGGTATTGTATCAGAGTAGGAGGTCATAGTTCAGTGAGATTGATGCCTGGTTATATAAATGCCTTATTTTCTGTGAGTGAGTGAGTGAGTGAGTGAGTGAGTGAGTGAGTGAGTTGGGTTTAATGCCACTTTGAACATATCACGGTGTGTCAGCTTCATGTGGGAGGAAAGTCCGAAGTGATGCAGGTCTCACACATTTACAACTTCGGTGCAACCCACGAGCATGGGTATGGTGCTGACAAACCTAGAAACATAATCAGGGCGAACCAGGATTCAAACCTGCGTTCATAGGTTTCTGGTAATCCCAAGGGACACAACCCTGCACAGTGAATCGCAGCGCCTCCAAGATGATCGTAACTCCCATTCTTTAACAAAGGCTTATGACAGTCGTAGTGCTCCAATCGGTTTGTGGAACGGGGCCCAGATGTATAATCATTGATGTAAACAAATAGTCCCGTGCTCTGACGTGCCCTTGCGGTCCCGGTTTCCACAGTCTCACGTCATATCAACGTGATGCTTAAACTAACAGTGACTAATAAGAAGCTGACTCTATGTTGTGTGAGACACCAAGAGATGTCACTCTTTGACAGAAATCAAAAGTCTTTCTAATACCGATTGCTAGATTCCACTGTACACACACAACACAACACTATCTACAAATGATATCAAAAAGCACCAACACCCACCAACTGTGTTATGAAGAAGCCAGACCACAGGTGGTTAAACAGAAAGCAAATGTGAATGCGAAAAGGTAACACAACGATACTATCCTCCACACAACTTACTTTGCAGATTACAACACTTGTAACTGGTGCATGTTTTATTAGCCTGACCTCTGCCAGACCTGACCGGACCACTTGTCCGACAACCTGAGTCAGGCTTCTTAACATCTCACCTCACAGGATGCTGCAGCAGAAACATTAAAGCAGATGACATTCATGAAGGGACAATTACCGCATTCGACGTAATTAGTGCCCCGATTTAATAAGCGCCCACGGCAATATTTGCTAATATATTGGCTAGTGAACAATCCTATAATTAGCACCCCTTCCGAGTGATCAATGTACACAAGACTTATTTATTCGCGTATTATAATACGCACTCGTGTGTTATATGCACCCCTAATTATGGACAATTAAATTCTGGAAAAATATATCTGTTGGATATAAACATTTCAGGCTGTCAGCATAAACCACGAAATTTACGATCTTTCAACTGTTTTTTTTCACCAGAATAATATTCCAATAAGAGCCCTGGGCGCTTATTAAGTCGAATACGGTATCTGTTTTGGGTGAATGGATTCGACAGACAGACAGACAGACAGTGTGTGAGTGAGTGAGTATGGTTTTACGCCGCTTTTAGCAATATTCCAGCAATATCACGGCGGGGGACACCAGAAATGGGCTTCACACATTGTACCCATGTCGGGAATCGAACCCGGATCTTCGGCGTGACGAGCCAACGCTTTAACCACTAGGCTACCCGACCGCCCCTCAGACAGACAGACAGACAGACATGTTTATTCAGTTTTTCGGCCTTGTGGCCTGGAGTACATTTGAATGAACGGAAAAAAGTTGGTAGACACATGACTGACAGGACATTTGCTAAATTAACAAATCTTAGAAATCTTTGATAAAGATGGTTACTGACATAATAGTATGTGCGTCTTTGAGTTGAGTAAATTGTACATTACTTAGAGATTTACGGATGTATTTTCAAAATATGGCAAATATGTTTCTTTGGGAAGTAAAGGCATCGCAGATAAACAGAACATGGAACCTCGTCTTCGATGGACCCAGATTTACAATATGTACAAATAATATTTGAATACAGTGGTCCCTCGCTACAACGCTTCCAATGGGGTCCAAATAATTGGTGGGCGTTATAGACGATGAGCCGTTTAACCGAGGGCGAGGCGGGGGAGCGCGCTCGGCAAATCTCAAATCATCAATATGTGTTTATCTCACGTCACGTCAAAATAGTATATATTTTTATGGACCTAGATCTACCTGTAATATCATTCATTTATTAAATCTGTCACATTTCTAAATGTCTGAAATACGTATTCCATTTCAATTTATCATTTTTTATCGATAAATTAAAAAATTATTCACTATTTCCTGCGATGTTATTGAAAATAAAATTCTCGGACACACATTTTGACAACGGGTCCGCATCGAACATGTCAAAGAGCAAAATAAAGACGTTTTAAGCAAATCTTTAAATATATTATACAAAGTGATAAATAAAATCAACAAAAATATATCTAGAAGTAATCAAACTTACATCTAAGTTATTATTTCCATTGTTTCGTGCGATCGCGTGTAATGTAAGTCAAATGACATCTCGGTTTTCGTTGCCTTGAATTCTCGGCTCGGACACAACGTTTAATGCACAATATATGCATGAAAAATCTTTGTCACAGCTCGTAACCTATGTAGTCTATGTCTTTGTTCTTCCTAATATCTTGCATTTTTAAACAATGTAATGAGATTCTAAACTTACATATCACTATTAGAGTAGATTTATCTTTTAAGTTAAATATTTCTCAGGTTCAAACACAGATTAATGGAAGCATTATGTGAAAGAAAGTAATAGGATCTAATACTTTCCGACCAGTCTTTAATGAAAATAACATCGAGCCTTTCTTTAAAGGTAGAAACAAATGAAAACTTATCCCCAATATCTTTGGCAATCCAAACAGGAAAGACCACAAGAAAATAATGAGTGTTCTGACATAAGATGCCCATGTGTGTTTGCCATTATTATCTAAACATCCTAGCAACCAGTAAATCTGGTAAGGGTAAGTGACATATGTATATGTTTAATCCAATATTTAATTACTTTCATCTGGGATTGGATAAATATATTATAGTGCCCAATCTCCCCTCGTACAGCTTTAGTTGAAGCAAACTTTCAAACAGCAAGAAATCTTTTAAAACATGACACATGAACCTTTTCAATTCTTCAAAATACCTGTTGCGTCAAATCTGTGCGGCGTTAAACGACAAACAAAGAAATATGTATCGAGTCTGCTACCACATTAAATGTCTCACAAAGGCCAAGGTCGTCCTAAATGTGTTGTGAGTGAGTGAGTTGGGTTTAACGCCGCTAACAGTATTCCAGTTATATCACGGCGTGTCAGCTTAATGTGGGAGGAAAGCCCGAAGTGATGCAGGTCTAACCTAGACACATAATCGGGGCGAACCGGGATTCGAACCCACAATCATAGGTTTCTGGTGTGTCCAAGGGACGCAACTCTGCACAGCGAATCGCGGCGCCCTAGACGACTGGACCATCCGTGCCCCCTAAATGTGTTGTGAAGAGTGGCATCATTCACTGACAGATTGTACTGGTACTATCCTATTACAGTAAAGTACGGTTATAACGAACTCAAAGGGACTACTTATTTTAGTTCGTTATAACCGTAGTTCGTTATAAGCATTTAGACAGCATGACTACAGCAAACAGTCGGGACCAGCAAAGTAAGTTCGTTATATACGTCAGTTCGTTATAAGCGTGTTCGTTATAACCGTAGTTTACTGTACAAGAATTGGTGATATTTTTTTATTAAAAAGTATACCGGCTGTTGAAAATGTAACATGCTTGTTTTCCTTAAATTGTTTATAGATTGGGCGCCTTCTTGGCCTGAGCAGCAAGTGTTTTGCAGACCATTGACCAATTTAACCGCAGGGAAAACATTAAACCTAAATATTTATAAGAGGAAACAACTCTCATATTTACATTATGAAACGACCACTTTTCCTTTTGCACAACTATACCACCATTTCTTAATACATCTATATTTGACTTGTCTAGGTTTAGCTGAAGCCCCCAAGTGTCTCAAAACTGCTTTAGAGCATTCAGTTGCGTTTGTAGACCATTCACTGTATAAAAAAACATAACTATATCATCAGTAAATTGAAGTAAAAGTACATCCTTAACTTCTTGAGTTACAAATATCCCATTTCTCATAAATAGCATCAACAAGTTGATTTATAAAGAAAATGAAAAGTAGTGGATTCAGGACGCAGCCCTGTCGCACACCCGATATGGTGTTAAACATCTCTGTCTTACTAGAGTTAGTTTTCATACATGCAGCCACTGACACAAACATGCTCCTTAGAATTAAACACATTTTTCCATGACATCCTTTTGTCTGCTTTTTCCTATCTACAAGATTGAATGCCCGCAAAAGTACATCACGTGAAGCTAACATCTGGTGCCCCTCGCTGTACAACCCACTAGTACATGTGTGTCTCATGATGTTATCTGTTCTGTTTACTGCCATACATCAGCTGTCAATCATGAGTGAATGAGTTGGGTTTATCGCCGCTTTTAACAGTATTCCAGTTATATCACGGCGTGTCAGCTTAATGTGGGGGGAAAGCCCAAAGTGATGCAGGTCTCAGGCCTTTACTACTTCGGTGAAACCCACGAACCCACAATCATAGGTTTCTGGCGTGCCCAAGGGACACATCTCTGCACAGCGAATCGTGGCGCCTTAGAAATTAATGTGAGTGCCAACTCCTAGCCTAAAATGTGTCATGAAATTGGCCAACAGCTTATCCATAAGGCTTCTGACCTTTCCTCAGTGATAACACATTCAATCCATGTGCACATATAATAAATACAAAAGTATACCATCAAGACCTTCATACATATCCAAGGTCATTGTATAATCAAAGTATCTCCTTCTGAATAACAATCATTATTCAAGGGAAAAAGTCACCGAGACAGTTGTGACCAATCTCAGTAAAATCAGATCTTGGTGCTCGCTAACAACACATTCAGAACAAGCCTGCCCAAATATTGATAAAATGTCCCCAAAATGGAATAATAAAATTTACTAATTCATGTTATTTATAACTTATAATTAATGTTATGGCTCTGTAGAGGTGACTGATAAGCTGATAAGCTCATATCATATCCAGACATGCATCATGACTACGAGGGTCTGGAGGTGTGGGACACATAGCCCAGTTTTAAAGTTTTAAATTAATGAAACAGTTGCAATTAACAAAAGAAAATCAATTAAAGTGTTGTATTCATTTTATTATTGTGAGAGAAATATTGTGGCCAATCTTTAATGTCTTAAAAACAATAAATTTCAAAAAGATGGATCCTAACAGAGACCATATAATAGAGGGATGGCCCTCTAGCCTATGCGCGAAACTATCAGTGCTACGGCTTGTAGTGTGCAGCCTGTCCGGAAGCGAGCAGAAACGTGTTCACTGCAATCATCGTTGTCGCCTAGTTTTCCCATGCAAAAGATAAATGTCACAACACATATTTACACTCATGTATTTCTTAACATTGTCAACATTACACCTAAGATTTGTTGGTGGCCTAAAGCATGTCGTTGTTATTGTATTTGATGACTGTGATCACGCTTTGTCTTTGTCTGAGAGAGTACAAATGGCGTACATGTAAAATCGGCAAAATTGCATATTGTGATTTTCAATAACGGCCACTAATTCGCAATGAAAGTCCTTGGTTACCAAGGTGTATAAAAGGAGATACGTTAAAAATTGGTTTAGTGTCATTGACAAATCTGGGGCGGTTGCGAAATTTCTGATTTTGACTCCAGAAATGCGACTAAATCTGAATTTTTCCTAAATAATTACACCACAACTCTTAATTTTCGCACGCTTTCAGACAAAGGTACCAAAGTTATTTAGGTACGATCGGTAGTTATTTTTGTATGATTTTTTACGCAAATCCATATTTTAGTCATATATTTTAAGTTGAAATGCCATTTAGCAGACGACATAACATGCATTTTGTCTGTGATTATCGTCCGCATATATCTTTTAAAACATTCTACAAAGTGGCTTATTTTTATTGATATTAAAAGATTTGGTTCCAAATTCAATTTAGCGTGGTTAAATCTACAGGTAACCTCGCTCTACATTGAAAACACGGTATGTTTATCTCCTAATTATAAACTATATGATCTGGGCCTAAACACAATCATAATAATGTAAATATGATGAAGGTACTACTTACTTTGTGTATTTACACAACAATGAAAACATCATACAAATATAAAAATCTGTTTTATGAAATATTTGTATTATGAAATTATCCTTTGCTTTGTAAATGCCAAGAAACAAGAAGGATTATATCGGCAGTTGTCGGGAGAGAAGTTCAAGAAAACAAGGTCGAAGGTCATTCAGTAAAATATGTAGATGGTCTATTGTCCTATTCTATGATAAATACATCTACATATATCAGAGTTTGTGATGTTTTGTTTTGTTTTAATAGTAATAGGAATATATAGGATCAGATATAAATAGAAAACCATGATGAAACAATTTAGAAAACTACAAATGTAACCACAGGTTACGATATACATGTACTAGTATATATCTGGTACCATGCTTGTTGAAGCTATATTGTTATACCTGAAAAACAAAATTATTTGTATGCTGAAATATCAAACTAATTGGGTAATATTAAACAACGATTACAATTACAATTACAATTGTCATCTTTGCTTTGGAATTTAACAGTAGCCTCCCTTTGAAAAAAACATATCTCGCTCCGGCAAATACCCTTATCACTGCTAGCCCCAAACAGGCATTAACCAATAGCATTTGATTACTTGCGAAATGTATTGTCGGATTTAACAATGCTCGTAGTTTAATGTGTATTCTTAATTCATTGGAACTATTAGCATTACAAAATAGTATCGAATTTACATGAAATAAAGACATTAATATGGCGTCATTTTTTTCTGGCTAATAGTAAAGCATTTACGCCAGCCGGAGACGATGCATTTTTGCAAGTAAATCTAGCCTGGATTTAATTATGATATGATATGAAGAAAATCTGGAGATATATATAAGTGTCTTCCTTGCATCTGGATGAGTTATATTCACACTTCCTGAGTTCCAGTGCAATTTACCGGATCGTAGTTTCCTGTGGCATTTGTAGTAGATTTGGTATATTTGTTTATTTATAACAGTTCTACAATTGTAGCATAAAATGAGATATATTAACTGATTTTTAAAACAAAATACTTTTGATATCAGATCAGCTTTTTCTTCACACGCCCTCAAAAACCTACACTCTTAGACAGCCGTCATATTCTCATTTCCTATCTTTTTCTTTGAGTGAAACTTTTTGGGAGGTATTACCATGATTACCGACGGCTTGGTAGCGGTAACATCCCTGTCATTCTATTCAGACCAAGAGTCATCCTAAACCAACACCTGGTCGTTGAGTGGTAATTCTTCTTCTATTATATGGTCTCTGATCCTAGTGATTCAAATTAGCAGGTACTAGGGTCTTTTATGTCTTCTGCTACGGTATTTGACCCCCGAAGTATTAAACTCTGAACATTAGGGTGACGACAAAGACTTGTTGACTTTCATTCTTGATGCCACACACTGATAAATCATGAAACAAGTACCTGCATACTCAGTGCCTAAAGAATAGGACAATAAATCTGGAAGAGCAGATAATATGCACTACTCCACTTTTTTATAGGCGTATATTTTATCTTTCCATGACACACAAAACTGAATCTCATAAATTGTCAAATGTATAGCTAATAGAATGACATATATATCCCTATGAAACGTTGAGTAGCATATAACACCAGTTTGACCTGTCCGTAATTAAGAAAAAATATATATCGCACCTACTTCCCACTTGACCAGAGCCTCACTGGTCTCTGAGACGAGCTGCACACTTCTCAATGCAGGATATTTCATTGCTTACAGAACCGTGACACAACACAATCTTTCAAAACTGTGCAAGCAGTAAGGCCAAATTTACTACCTGGGTATCCGACCCCATATTACTCGACCCTAACTGGGTACTCACTGCAGGTCTCAAGAGTTGGGAACGGCACCCATTCCTATATCCCCCTTCCACTTCACGTTGGCGTGACACATGTAAAATAGGTTCCCTGAGCCTCTTGCACGATCTTTGTTTGTTTGTTGTTTGTTTAACGCCGCACTCAGCAATATTCCAGCTATATGACAGTGGTCTGTAAATAATCTAGTCCGGACCAGACAATCCAGAGATTGTCATCATGATCATCGATCCACGCAATTGGGATACGATGACCGCATGGCAGGAGACTACATTTGTAGCCTTCAGTGTTGACCTTGAGGCTTCATGTCCTGTTGGCTACTCACATATTTTTGTTAAACTGTTGTATCATCGAGGTAATGAAATGGTAAAAATAAGTTCCATCATTGCCAAGTGGTGTACATATGTGAATATGTACAAAATAAAAGACAGGCCTTAAGTGAGCCCCATGCTTAAATGCACTGAAGCTCTGAACTCAAACGAATTAAAACAGGACAAGGTGGTGATTCATAGCTGTAACATAGGTAAATCCAATTTATGCGAACTCCCTCTTATACATACTCCTTGATTTTTGTGTAAATATACAGGATTCATGAAGGAAACAGTATGACAAGAGCCCTTTTTGACCACGAGATAAATTTAAGAAATGAGGAATATATTTATAAATCAGTATGAAAGTTATCAAATGATTTTGTATGAATATGATTTTGTTATTTAAAAAAAAATATGTGTTATTTTATGTTCAAACCACATAATGCACAAAGTGCAAATAAATGGATCCCTTCGTGGGTATACTTTGATAAATTCGTTTTACTTTTTACAAAATGGTGCCAAGGTTATTTAGTTTTCTCCTTTTGTCATAGAGGATCAGTGAAAACAGGCAATACTGTTTGGGCCTACGCTATGGGAAGTAACCCACGGTCTCTCAATATAGCCATTATGCCAAACAAACTGAATAGAGAACGAAATCAAGCGGACCCAAAACGGTTGGGTGTGTTGTGATCGAAAACTGGACAGAATTGAGTTACTGAGACAACATATTACGATTGCTAGATTACTGGGGAATTCTATAAGAAATACGCTTTAACAACGATGCCTAACACAACGGTCTTTATAATGTACGTGTTGTCACAAAGAAATGTTTGGCTATGGAGACAATACCTACTTGCAAGTTAACGCTATGCAGAACCTTCGACAGAACAGCAACTCACTAAACTAGTTTCTGTGGAAGACTGCGAAGCGACTATTCTCATTACTAGACAGGAAACTATTTGTAATCTCCTCGCACCTCAGGCCTCGTTGGGAGTTTCCAAATACGTTCATCGCCGTACTCAGGTTTCAAAAATTGACATCACGAGCATCGATCTACGCATTTGGGATACGATGACATGCATCAACCAAGTCAGCGACCCTGACCACCCGATCCCGTTAGTCGACAAGCATATGGTTGCATATGGTTGCTCAGAGGTCATATACCGGTATATATAGTCTCGGGGTTGATGAAAACCGATACGACAAAGGTGTGTTTTTTCGGATCGTCTTCCGTCACCAGGAGGTGTTGCCTTAATTTAAGTATTAAGTATTAAGTATCTAGGGGCGCGACTAGGCCAATTTTAAAATCACGCCCTCAATAAATAAAAAACCCACATTTATTGAGGGCGTGAACCGACCGAGCCAGCTAGGAGGGGTTGGGGGCATGCTATTTCCTGCATTTTTGGACCGTTTATGTTAGATTTCATTTGAAACAAATATTGGTAATTTATTTATTAGATATACAGAACCGTTACCTAAATTCGTGGATAACCTTGATTCGTGGATCGCGGTAATTATCATGATATCTCGTTAATTAAGTCTCGTATGACGTCACACAGCGGTACTTTTGATGTACACACACTGCCACGCCTTGCTGACAAAAATGTTCCGAATCGCTGCATTGCACGTAAGTACAGAAAACCCAAATGTCCAACACTGAGATAAATAGCCCTAGATCACTAATACCAAATTTCATATTTACAAAACATCAAATAAAATATATACCGTTAGCACCATCCTTCTCATCTCCCGTCGTCTGCTTGTCTAGATGTCAATAAAAATAAGTCACGTGACTTGAGGTGCTGCCGTCTGTTAAAATTAGAAATCTATGGAAACATTTTCGGGCCATCTCGTATAGCTTTTTTTCATTTTCATAGGGTTCACCGACGCCTTCGCGACAGGGATACAAAAGTTAATCGCCTACAGCTTTGACTAATGCTTACTTGGAAGTCAAAAACAATAAAGTTGCAGTTCATAGAGCGGCATTAAACTTCTCTGTACCCGAGCAAACACTGAGAGACAGGATAAAAGGCAAGATCAATGTTGACACTTGTCAAGTCAGGTGCAACTCCAATTTTTGATGCGGAGCAGGAAACTAGACTTGTTGACCATGTAACATACATGGCATCCATCAGATACGGATATACCAGGAAAGAGGTTGTCCAATTAGGGTCTAACTTTGCTTGTCAGTTAGGAAAACGTGACCTGTCCCATCCATTATCTGTCAAGTGGTTATATGGTCTGTTGGAGCGATGGCCGGAGTTGAAAGTTAGAAGTGCCAAGTCTCTCACGGAAGTTCGTGCCAAAGCAAGTTCAGAGGAATGAATCAACAAATATTTTGATGAACTTGCCATGATTATGGAAAAATACGGTTTCCAATCAAGACCAGAAGCAATTTGTAACATAGACGAGAAAGGAATCAACCAGTCCCATGTCGCACCGAAAATTGTTGGCTCAAGAAATTCCGTGGCCTACGAGATTTCTTCGGAGAGATCGTCTGTCGTCACACTTTTGGGATGTTGAAATGCTCTGGGCACATTTATTCCACCTTTCTTTGTATTTCCGGGTGCTAGAATGCGCAGTGGCTGTACAGCGGGAAGTGACGGAACTGTTTCTGAATCGGGATGGTCAAATGGTGTTATATTCCAAGATTACTTGGACAGGCATTTCCTTCGATATGCATCTCCAGCAACGCCGAATAGACCTTTGCTTCTTCTGTACGATGGCCACAAGTCGCACATTTCTCCGTCTCTGATAGACTGGGCAAAAGATCACAATATTGTGTTGTTTGTCCTCCCGGCTCACACAAGTCATATTTTGCAGCCAATGGACGTGGGATGTTTCGGTCCGTTTACAAAAATCTACAACATCGCCTCCGTAGCATGCAGGGCATATTCTGCTGCTTTAACGCCTGGTCACTTGCAGTCGGCATTCAGAAAGTCTGGAATCTATCCCTTTTCGCCAGATATGATTGATAAATCTGCATTCCAACCAGCTGCTTTTATCCACGCATCACACGTTGAAGACAAGTCGCAGCAAGTACCAGCTACTGACGACATACACAGCCCACGTTCCAACCCTAACGTTGAGAAGGAAAATCTCGTCACTAACTTTGACCAAACCCAATTCTTTGTTGACCAGCTTCCCGTCATTCAGAAGAAGCAAAGAAAACCACGTAGATCTATCCACAAGATCGTTAGCGGCAACGCCATAACTGAACCAGAGATAGAAATTCAAGTTAAAAACTATGTTAAAAGTTCAACTTCTAAACAGCCAGTACCAACCAAGAAACGACCAGCAAAGTCACATACATCAGCTGCACAATCTCAAAAGAAACATAAAAGTACCACCGAGCCAGCAGCGGGACCATCCGGTGCGATTAATCTACTATACAGCAGTGACAGTGAGGATTCGCCAATATCCGATGACGAAACATGTTGCGTGTGTCATCACTTTCAGCCCGCTGAACTGGCCCAATGCACATCACTGTCTTTCGTACAATGGGGGCAGTGCATGTATCATGACTTAACCACTGGGTGCACTTACAGTATTGTTGTCCAGTGCGCGTGCTTCGGACGCATGACACGTTTTATTGCCCTTGCCATGGTCTGCCATGCAAACCATCGGAAGAGTAGGACTGAAAGAGGACACAAACTTACCTGTAAATAGTGTACATAACTTTATTGACAAGATTCGTTTCGGAACCTGTGCGGACAAAATGCTGCCTATTATCTGAACGTCAAAAATATATATCAAATGTATTTGTATCCATATGTATAACGTTACACATTCGTTAGGAAAAATAAACTTGCCATAAATAAAGAAAATCGATTTTCCTCTATGACGCCAGCGTTCGTTTTCAAACCAGATTTATTTCCCTCGTTTACAACCAGACCATTTATATTTATGACAAAGACAAGTTGTAAGTTGATGCCGAAATGTGTGCGTAATTCAGGGATGTATGTGTCGCAGCTGTGTGTGAAATATATGTGATGTTATCGGCGTCTCATAACCGGCATACGTGAAACGTGACTTTGTAAAGACTCTCCAATATGGCGGAAAGTTCGCTTCGGCGTTCGTGTTTGCTTATTTTCTAAAACATATTACACGATTCTAGGATAAATAAAAACTGGCATATATATATATATGTGTGTGTGTGTGTGTGTGTGTGTGTGTGTGTGTGTGTGTGTGTGTGTGAGACGTCAGACGGTGAGTGCACGAGGAATAGCGTTAATATATTGTGCACCTCGGCACGCATGCAGTTGTAGCAGGACGTGGGGTCATCCTGTGGGATGCACCTGAGCAACAATCCACGCAATTGGATACGATGACATGCATTAACCATGTCAGCGAGCCTGATCCCGATCCGGTTAGTCGCCCCTTACGACAAGCATAGTCGCCTTTTACGGCAAGCGTGGGTTCCTGAAGACCTTTTCACTACCCCGATCTTCACGGGTCGCAAGACTTTGTAATAGTTGTATGAACATTATCAGACATGTTCAGATGACCGTCAAATAGCCCCTTTTCTTTATACCCTTGCAAGATTTGGACTTTTGGCATCATCAAGTAAACTAGCAGGGCAACCCCCCCCCCCCCCCCAATTTAAAATTTAAAAAAAATAAAATTGATGTGATGTACTGGTATTACTACCATACGTTGGTACTGTCTTTACATGGAGAACATCAGCTTGGTCAAAGACTTTTTCCAATATTTAAAAAAAAATAATTCCTGGATGAAAACCGCTAAAACTGCTTTTCAACACTCGTTAGCCGTGCATCTCTACAATTAATGTTGTTGTTAGTCCAAGACAAACACATGCTGAAATAAACAAAGTCAAATGCCCATTCCATACTAAGGTAAGGGAGATAACTGACCATAAAAAGTCAAGGACTTTAACAGTCAGTTAATTTTCGATTCTCAAACAGAAACAAATGATGACTGAAAGCAGCAGAAACGATCCGCGGCATCGGAGCACGTTGTCACGCCATCAACGACGTCCCGAGTGTGATCAACTGCACCTTATTTGTCTACTCTTACGACCAGGATGGGGTACTGGACACATGGGGTACTGGGCACATGGGGTACTGGACACATGGGGTACTGGGGACACATGGGGTACTGGGGACACATGGGGTACTGGGGACACATGAGGTACTGGACACATGAGGTACTGGACACATGGGGTACTGGGGACACATGGAGTACTGGGGACACATGGGGTACTGGGAACACATGAGGTACTGGACGCATGGGGTACTTTGGACATATGAGGTACTGGACACATGAGGTACTGGACACATGGGGTACTGGACACATGAGGTACTGGACACATGAGGTACTGGGGACAAGGGGTACCGGGGTACTGGGGGCATGGGGTACTGGACACATGGGATACTGGGGACACATGGGGTACTGGGGACACATGGGGTACCGGGGACATGGGGTACTGGACACATGGGATACTGGGGACACATAGGGTACTATGGACACATGGGGTACTGGACACATGGGGTACTGGACACATGAGGTACTGGGCACATGGGGTACTGGGAGCATGGGATACTGGGCATTTGGGGTACTGGGGACACATTGGGTACTGGACACATAGGGTACTGGGGACACATGAGGTACTGGACACATGGGATACTGGGGACACATCGGGTACTGGGGACATGGGGTACTGGACACATGGGGTACTGGACACATGAGGTACAGGGGACACATGGGGTACTGGGGATACATGGGGCACTGGACACATGGGGTACTGGGGACACATGGGGTACTTGAGACACATGAGGTACAGGGGACACATGGGGTACTGGGGACACATGGGGTACTGGACACATGGGGTACTGGGGACACATGGGGTACTTGAGACACATGAGGTACTGGACACATGGGGTACTGGGGACAAGGGGTACTGAGGACATGGGGTACTGAGGACACATGGGGTACTGGGCACATGGAGTACTGGGCATATGAGGTACTGGACACATGAGGTACTGGGGACACATGGGGTACTGGACACATGGGGTACTATGAACACATGGGGTACTGGACACATGGGGTACTGGGAGCATGGGATACTGGGCATTTGGGGTACTGGGGACACATTGAGTACTGGACACATGGGGTACTGGGGACACATTGGGTACTGGGCACATGGGGTACTGGGGACACATTGGGTACTGGACACATGGGGTACTTTGGACATATGAGGTACTGGACACATGAGGTACTGGACACATGGGGTACTTGGGACACATTGGGTACTGGACACATGAGGTACTGGGGACAAGGGGTACCGGGGACATGGGGGCATGGGGTACTGGACACATGGGATACTGGGGACACATGGGGTACTATGAACACATGGGGTACTGGACACATGGGGTACTGGACACATGAGGTACTGGGCACATGGGGTACTGGGAGCATGGGATACTGGGCATTTGGGGTACTGGGGACACAATGGGTACTGGACACATGGGGTACTGGGGACACATTGGGTACTGGACACATGGGGTACTGGGGACACATGGGGCACTGGACACATGGGGTACTGGGGACACATGGGGTACTGGACACATGAGGTACTGGGGACACATGAGGTTCTTGGGACACATGAGGTAATGGACACATGGGGTACTGGGGACAAATGGGGTACTGGACACATGAGGTACTGGAGACACATGGGGTACTGGGCATATGGGGTACTGGACACATGGGGTACTGGGGACACATGGGGTACTGGGGACACATGAGTTACTGGACACATGGGGTACTGGACACATGGGGTACTGGGCATATGGGGTACTGGACACATGAGGTACTGGGGACACATGAGGTACTGGGGACACATGAGGTACTGGGCACATGGGGTACTGGACACATGGGGTACTGGGGGTACTGGGGACACATGAGGTACTGGGGACACATGAGGTACTGGGGACACATGAGGTACTGGGTACTGGGGACACATGGGGTACTGGGGACACATGGGGGTACTGGGGACACACTGCATGGGGACATGGGGTACTGGGGACACATTGCATGGGATACTGGGGACACATTGCATGGGGTACTGGACACATGGGGGTACTAGGCACCTGGGGGTACTGGGCACATGGGGTACTGGGCACATGTGGGTACTCGACACATGGGGGACATGGGGGTACTGGACACATGGGGGTACTGGGCACATGGGGGTACTGGGCACATGGGGTACTGGGCACATGGGGGTACTGGGGACACAATGCATGGGGTACTGGGGACACATTGCATGGGGTACTTGGGACACATTGCATGGGGTACTGGACACATGGGGTACTTGGCACATGGAGTACTGGGGACACATTGCATGGGGTGCTGGGGACATGGGGCTACTGGGCACATGGGGTACTTGGCACATGGAGTACTGGGGACACATTGCTTGGAGTACTGGGGACACATTGCATGGGGGTACTGGGGACATGGGGGTACTGGGCACATGGGGGTACTGGGGACACATGGGGTACTGGGCACATGGGGGTACTGGGGACACATTGTATGGAGTACTGGGCACATGGGGGTACTGGGGACACATTGCATGGGGGTACTGGGCACATGGGGGTACTGGGGACACATTGCATGGAGTACTGGGGACACATTGCATGGAGTACTGGGGACATGGGGGTACTGGGCACATGGGGGTACTGGGGACACACTGCATTGGGTACTGGGCACATTTCATGTGGGTACTGGGGACATGGGGGTACTGGGCACATGGGGGTACTGGGGACACATTGCATGGAGTACTGGGGACACATTGCATGGGGGTACTGGGGACATGGGGGTACTGGGGACATGGGGGTACTGGGGACACATTGCATGGGGGTACTGGGGACATTGGGGTACTGGGCACATGGGGGTACTGGGGACATGGGGGTACTGGGCACATGGGGGTACTGGGCACATGGGGGTACTGGAGACACACTGCATTGGGTACTGGGCACATTTCATGGGGGTACTGGGGACATGGGGGTACTGGGCACATGGGGGTGCTGGGGACACATTGTATGGAGTACTTGGGACACATTGTATGGAGTACTTGGGACACATTGCATGGAGTACTGGGGACACATTGCATGGGGGTACTGGGGACATGGGGGTACTGGGCACATGGGGGTACTGGGCACATGGGGGTACTGGGGACATGGAGTACTGGGGACACATTGTATGGAGTACTGGGGACACATTGTATGGAGTACTGGGGACACATTGCATGGAGTACTGGGGACACATTGCATGGGGGTACTGGGGACATGGGGGTACTGGGGACATGGGGGTACTGGGCACATGGGGGTACTGGGGACATGGGGGTACTGGGGACACATTGTATGGAGTACTGGGGACACATTGCATGGAGTACTGGGGACACATTGCATGGGGGTACTGGGGACATGGGGGTACTGGGCACATGGGGTACTTGGCACATGGGGGTACTGGGCACATGGGGGTACTGGGCACATGGGGGTACTGGGGACACATTGCATGGGGGTACTGGGCACATGGGGGTACTGGGCACATGGGGGTACTGGGGACACATTGCATGGGGGTACTGGGCACATGGGGGTACTGGGCACATGGGGGTACTGGGGACACATTGTATGGAGTACTGGGGACACATTGCATGGGGGTACTGGGCACATGGGGGTACTGGGCACATGGGGGTACTGGGCACATGGGGGTACTGGGGACACATTGTATGGAGTACTTGGGACACATTGCATGGAGTACTGGGGACACATTGCATGGAGTACTGGGGACACATTGCATGGGGGTACTGGGCACATGGGGGTACTGGGCACATGGGGTACTTGGCACATGGGGGTACTGGGCACATGGGGGTACTGGGCACATGGGGGTACTGGGGACACATTGCATGGGGGTACTGGGCACATGGGGGTACT